AAGATTCCTGGCACTCATTTCTGTTAGAGGCTGAGTCGAACTCAGGGCCACAGTGCGACTGAAAGGATTAAGTAAAGTGAAAAAGAAATCCAATGACCTCATCAGGAATATAAACCACGACCTTTGTAGCACAGTTACTGAATCAAATACGGTACCGCGTCTCTCCTCGTGTTGACAGTACTTTTGAAATGACTGTACTTATTGTAGCACCCCACCACTATTGGAAAACGTACCCTCCATTTTGACTCATAGTGGATCGGCCTCACTTGCTGTCTGTTCTTAGTGGGAGCAGGAGAATAATCTTTTGCAGCCCTGAAAACCACATCCTGAACGGGAAATATCAGAAGAAGACGACGCTAACCAGCTGCACAAGAAATTCAGAGTAAGTCAAATATTTCAATTTATGAGATTTGACATTACGGGTTGTTTTTCAGTATGAGAATTTACGGAATATTCAACTAAACTAAATTAAATAGTATGACTGAAGAAAAGTACGCGCTTCTAGCATGTGACGTCGTGTCGTCCTGTAGAAGTTTATTAATATTTATGCCTCACAATCCGTCAAAATATAACTCTCTACATTGCACTGCTTACATAATATACTTAAAAGTGTAATTAGTTAAGGCTTGTCCGCATTACTCGTGCTCGTGTTACTCGCTATGCTCAAGAGTAATGTGGACGATATGACAAGTCACGAGGCAAGTACATTTTTTAATTTTTAAATTAAATCTGGACGCAACTTTAGGCACTAGGACAAGCAACATTTTTTCTTTCTTTTACCATTTTTCGTCAACTGGCTCTTCACCTGACGTGTATAACCCTTCCAAATGTCCTATGATTCTCAGAATAAACGTCAATTGCTTTTCTAAAGAGCATAAATAGATTGTTCCTTAGTACTGGAAATGCAGTCTCCTCTCTGTGAGGTAGCAACTGAATTCTTGGTGGAATGACGCACAACCAAACTGACCATATTTTGATAGATCATCATCATTATCATCACTAATGTCAGAGGACAGGTCCACAGTCTCCTCCAAAACAGTCCTCCACTTAATGCGATCTAGAGCTTTCTCCTTCAAATGAGAATATCCTCTTTTGTCCCGAAGCCCATCCAGTATCTTCTTACGTCTTCTTCCTCGTCTTCTGGTCACTTTATCCGCCCCTCTATCTTTTCTTCAATAACTTCTTTTAGAAGGCAGTTACTGCGTAAGATATGACCAATCCAATTAGCCGTCCGTTTTCTTATTTCATGTAGGATATTCCTCTGCTCACTGACTCTACATAACACTTCATTTCTCACATAATTGCTCCAACTGATCTTCTCCATCCTTCTCCAACACCATATTTCGAAGCTTTCCAGGTGTTTCTCTTCTACTGCCCTAAGTGTCCATGTTTCAGCCCCATACAGAGCTATGCTCCAAATGTAGCATTTCACTAGTTTCCTCCTCAATTTTAAGTCCAATTTTCTGGTAAAAAGATTGCTAAATGCAGCTTTTGCCATGGCAATTCTAGATTTAATTTCACAAGTACACCTTCCATCATCTGATAACAAGCTACCCAAATATTTAAAACATTTCACATTCTCTAGTTGTTTTTGGTCTAACTTTCTTGTGAGTGGGGTTGGTTGTCTCGAAATTTTCATTACTTTTGTTTTCTCCACATTCATCTCCATGCCATAGCACCTTCCAATTTCAATTAGTCTATCAATCATACCCTGTAGCACAGTTTCTTCCTTAGCCAATAACACAAGGACATCTGCATATTTCACAGTTTGAATAATTTGCCCTCCTAATTTTAAGTCTCCAAGCCCATCCAGAGCTTCCTTGGTAAGGCATTCGCTGTACAAGTTGAACAAAATTGGTGATAAACAGCATCCTTGTCGAACTCCTCTTCCAATCTTCACACTTCTTGTCTCCCCTCTGTCCAGTCGCACTCTAATTTTCTGATCCATGTACAATTTACTAATCAGTTATCTTTCCCGCCAATCGATAGTTGTTTTCTTTAGTATCTGCATTCATTTGGTCCAATTTACACAGTCAAATGCCGTCTGCCAGTCTATGAAGCAAACACACAGTTCTTCATCTATCTCCAAAGTTCGTCGAGCTATAATCCTTAATCCTCG